AGTCCCCTTCCTTTTTTTTTGTTTTTGTTTTTGGTTAACAAAAAATCTTTGGTGTTCCTCATAAAAAGCAATTATTGCTTGGTGTTCCTCAGTCTTAAAAAGTTTAAGAAACACTGGTTTAGAGGCTGCCTACCAGAATAGATCTAATTAAAAATCAAGAAGAAGGAACTAGTAGTGACTTCACCTTATAACTTGAAGTCTAGTGGTAAGTGCACTTGTCTATGATACCCAGTTCCAATTCTTCTCCTCTCTGCCTAATGTGGAGAAAGGATTTCAAGAGGAGTCTCCTGGCATGGAGTTCCCTCCATCTCTCCTGGTGAAACTGTTATATTTTGGATAAATAACTAATCACTGGAGCAGCAAAACTGGAATGTGGGTCTCCCACATGAGTGCCCTAAGCATGAGGCTCTCTGGTCCACTGAGCCTAAGAATTTATCCACAGTGGAACAGCATCACCAGGAGAGGAGGGAGGGAGACCCACATCTGACTGTTCCATAGCTCAGAGTACTCACTTGACAGGTAGGAGACACCTGTTCAAAGCCTTTCCCCATCTCATAACCCAGCCACACCAACACCTCTTTCTATTCATCCGTCTGCTTGTACGGAGAAAGGCAGGTGTTTAACTCATTCTCCCTAGAAACAACTTAGGCAGCTTTAGTGACTGATGCCAGGAGAGTAGTTCCTAGTTGTGGATCACTAACAGATATAGACACGTAGGCCACCACCCCTCATTGGTACCTCCCATTGGCTATTTGAGGTGGCTCCCCACCTAGCATGCTGGCTTTTGAAGACTGCATTCTAAGGTGCCCCACTCTCCCCATTCATTGTAGAGGGAATCTAGGCACCTAACTCGGCTTTGTGGATTGTACTGCTGTTCCAGTGACTTTTGTTTCTCCCCAAGGCATCTAAATTTAGGCATTGCAACATGCAGCACTAAGTTCCTTTGTGGATGTATGTCTAAGTTGCATGACAGAAATAGTACCCATCTATGTTAGAATGAAAAAAGTATGCCAAAGGCCAGGAATGCAGCATGCTTACAAAGTGCAGATGTGCAAGATACTAGAGATGAATTGTGATTTCAATTCCCCAAGCTAGTGGAGATGATGGTGATGTAGAAACTATGATGTGTATTTGGTGTCATCCCACAACAAGAAACAGTGGCAGTTACAGAAGCTAGGATCAAGCCACTTACAATACACTGACTCAGTGCAGTGAGCCTTGATGACAGCCAGTTTTCTGAGGGAGTTGGGTGGGAGGGGAAGAAGAAAATGTCTTCATTCTCACCTTGGCAATTCTTATTCCTGTTACCCATTGCTGTAGACTCGATTGATCATCACAGCACAAATACTTGATATATTGTGACTCCTTTTGAATCTGCGGGTGCTGGAATGAATAATTCTCGCAGTTAGAAACATACATATATCAGGCAAAATGTTAAAAAGTAAAAGCCCCATAGGGTGATTGCAATGGAAACACTGCCTTTCTAGAGCACATGAACATGAAGATGACAATTATCAGTGTGTAAAAAGAGTGAAATCACCAACTGCAGCTCATAGGGATATTTGTAGCATTAGCTTATACCAAATTGTAAGAGAGATCTCCAATGTGAATATCTAAGTTTAGAAAGCTAAAGTGTGACCTAAAGTTTAGAAATATCATGGTTCAGTGTCTAGCATTCAATGTGTAAACAGAGGAAGTCTGTTGCAATCTGTAACACATCCACTCTGAAAGCTCAGCATGATTGCCATTTCTAAAAAGCATATTGGCTGTGTCTACACTGGGCCACTTATTCCGGAAAATCAGCCACTTTTCCGGAATAAGCTGTGAGCTGTCTACACTGGCCCTTGAATTTCCGGAAAAGCAACGATGCTCTACTGTACAAAATCAGCCGCTATTCCGGAAAAACTATTCTGCTCCCGCTCGGGCATAAGTCCTTATTCCGGAACACTGTTCCGGAAAAGGGCCAGTGTAGACAGCCCAGTAGTCTTTTCAGGAAAAAAGCCCCGATCGCGAAAATGACGATCGGGGCTCTTTTCCGGAAAAGCGCGTCTACATTGGCCACAGATGCTTTTCCGGAAAAAGGGCTTTTCCAGAAAAGCAGCCTGCCAATGTAGACGCTCCTTTTCCGGAAAAACTTAAAACGGAATCCTATTCCGTTTTAAGCATTTCCGGAAATTCATGCCAGTGTAGACACAGCCATTCAGTTTGGATAAGAACAGACCTTCAGCTGAATCCAATTTTTGTCTATTGACTAGTTATCTTCCTGTGGATCTAGCTCTAAATCGTATTCCTCCAAGTTTTTGGTTTATGCTCCTTTATCTTTGTAACTCTCTCCAAAATTTCACCTGTTGGAGCTGTAGGATTATACATAATGCAACACTACCAAACATAACCTCTTTTTCCATGGTAAAAAACTTAAACAATGAAGGCTGTGTCTAGACTGGCAAGTTTTACCGCAAAATCACCTGCTTTTGCAGAAAAACTTGCCAGCTGTCTACACTGGCCGATTGAATTTCCGCAAGAACACTGACGATCTCATGTAAGATGCTGCTCCCGTTCGGGCAAAAGTCTTTTTACGAAAGACTTTTGCACAAAAGGGCCAGTGTAGACAGCACAGTACTATTTTCTGCAAAAAAGCCCCGATCGTGAAAATGATGATCGGGGCTTTTTTGCAGAAAACCGCGTCTAGATTGGCCACGGATGTTTTTCCGCAAAAAATGCTTTTGCGGAAAAGCATCCTGCCAATCTAGATGTGCTTTTCTGAAAATGCTTTTAACAGAAAACTTTTCCGTTAAAAGCATTTTCGGAAAATCATGCCAGTGTAGACGTAGCCTGAATAGTCTAGCAGCACCTTAAAGACTAACAAAACAGGTAGATGGTATCATGAGCTTCCATGGGTACAACCCACTTCTTGTACTCACAAAAGCTCATGATACCATCTACTTGTTTTCTTAGTCTTTAAGGTGCTGCTACACTATTTGTTGTTTTTTAAGTTTTTCCAATTACAGACTAACTGGACTACCCCCCTGAAGCTCTTTTTTCAGGGCATTTAAATCCTTTGAGTCTTTGAAGCAGTTCTAGGAACCCCTCCTGCCACTGCTCAACACTGACATATCCTTGCAATTCAGTCTGATTGCTTGTCTGAAAATTGCACCTCCTAGATTTAGATTTTGAAGGGACTAACTTCTGATGCTACAGTAGTGTAGGAAGTAAACCTGGCAGCTCCTAGAGGGGTAGCCATGTTAGTCTGTCTCAGCAAAAAATATGAGGAGTCCTGTAGAACCTTACAGACTAACAGTTCTATCTGGGTGAATACTTTTGTGGGCTGGAGCCCACTTCATCAGGTGCATGAAGTGGAAACTTAGGTTTGGCAGAGAGATATACAAAGATGGGAGTGTCCTATGGCACTCAGGGAAGGAGCTTTCTGCTACCATCTATTGGTGAACCCAGAGAGGAGACAGGATGAGCAGACCTCTTTTACATGGTTATCTGCCCTACTAATGTGAACAACTGGTTGTTTTGGTCAAAAGTAAAGTGTTGGATATAGGGGAAAATTAAAGGCTATCGTATTGTATGACAAAAGAGTATAAAGCAATATTTAATATGCTCTGAAGAGAGCTGCCATAACCAAAACCATTGCAGAGATGGTCAGTACAGTTAGTCACACCTGAGAAAGGAGTTCCCACCTGGTGAGAAGTAAATCTTTTGTGGCTGGGACTGTAGTTAAGACTACATCCTTGAACCTCTACCATAGTGCAGTGATAGAACTGAGTGAACTCTGGTAAGGGCCTAGATTTGGCACCTACATAACACCACTAGCTGAAGACTCCATCATAAGATATGATGCCGACATAGTACTAAGGCATTTCTTCCAGGATGCTAGGCATTACTTTCTCCTGGGTGGGGCCAGGGATGGACCTGCCTGTCTGCACTCCCAAATTCCAGGACTGATAAAAAAAGCACATCAGCATGGGGTTTTTCGGGTATACCAGCGAGGATGTGAGGTGTCATAGGCTATGTCTAGACTGCAAGCCTCTTTCGAAAGAGGCTTTCGAAAGATACTTTCGAAAGAGCCTCTTTCGAAAGAGAGCGTCTAGACTGCACGTTGAACTTTTGAAAAAGCGGCTTGCTTTTTCAAAAGAAAGCATCCAGTGAGTCTGGATGCTCTCTTTTGAAGAAGCCCTAATTACATTGAAGAACGCCTTCTTTCGAAAGAGGAACTTTTGAAAGAAGGCGTTCTTCCTCGTGAAATGAGGTTTACCGCCATCGAAAGAAAAGCCGCGTTCTTTCGATTTAATTTCGAAAGAACGCGGCTTGAGTCTGGACGCAGGGGAAGTTTTTTCGGAAAAAGGCTACTTTTCCCGAAAAAACCCCTGAGTCTGGACACAGCCATAAGGACATATGTCCATCAGCTGTTCATATAAGCAGGTGGGGAAACAAAGGCAAAGGATTACTACCAAAGAGACTGTGGAAAACTGTTTTAACCACTACTAGTATAATTGGAAAGTTTTTCTTTGTTTTATACACAGAGTTGGTATATGTCACGAGGGAAGTTTTGCCCATTAAGAATGTACAGAGGAAGTTTTCCATTTTCCTGTGTTTCTGAGAAGGGGTTCACGCCTGTGATATTGGTGAAATCTAGGAGGAACTCTCATATTTGATCTTGGCAATTTTTGCTGGCAGAAGGTTTACATGGACATTATCATTGACATATTTCACTGCTTCGATCCAAGTACACTGTTGCTTTTTTATCCTGAGAGATTCCAATTCAGAACATCCAAAGTTCAGTTCAGTTTCCTGTTGTGAAGAACGTCTCCAGACCAGAGGCCTTCTAATATAGGAGGTTAGAATAGACATACGGATAATTTAAACCAATGGCACTCCTTTCACAAGATGTCAGGGAATTTGTGATAGAAATGTAGCCGTGTTAGTCTGGGGTAGCTGAAGCAAAATGCAGGACAATGTAGCACTTTAAAGACTAACAAGATGGTTTATTAGATGATGAGCTTTCGTGGGCCAGACCCACTTCCTCAGATCAAATAGTGGAAGAAAGTAGTCACAACCATATATACCAAAGGATACAATTTAAAAAAATGAACAAATATGAAAAGGACAAATCACATTGCAGAACAGAAGGGGGATGCGGATCAGACAAGATCACAAAGGGTGTGTCTAGACTACATGCCTCCTTCGACGGAGGCATGTAGATTAGCCAGATCGG